TTTTAGTTATCCGGTTCTTTTAGCAGTTGATGTAATTAATGCTTTTTACACTGCGACTGATTATACCGACGTTGATGATACTTATCTGGAACCTGATAGATTATCACTTCCACGTACAATTTTGGATTATTTTTCCGGAAGACGTGATTTTGTAAGGAAAATTATTATTAATTTTAACAACTTATAAATTTTTATAACTTATTAATTTATATTATTATTCATTTTAACAACTTATAAATTTTTATAACTTATTAATTTTATAATTTAATTTTTATAGACATATGGAGCAACTATAGGTGCAGTATCTCAATGTTATAAACCATATGTTAGTAAACCGTTAAATATTGCACTTGGATTAGTAGAACCATCTCCATGGAATCATTATCCACAAAATATTTTAAATTATGCTGTTGGACTACAAAGGTTTGATGTTTCTAATTATTCTCAAACTGAGGCTAAAGGCGTTTTAAATTATTATTATGATAGTTCGTCAATATCACAAAGTAAATTTTTTTTTTTTTTTATATATATATATCTATTATTTTCTTAATTGATTCTTATTTATCTTATTAATTTATTTATTTTTATTCTTATAGATTCTAGTGATCAACTATTTAATAAGACATTTATTGCAACAAATGGAAATCCACGGAAACTTTATTTATCTTGTTGGAAAGGATTATAATAATAAGTTTAGTAGATTGGCTTACCCTATTTCGATATTATTGTAATCGTTTTTTTAAAATTAGCCGGATAAACCAATTTTGAAAATATGTACAGTATAAAAAGTACATATTTATGTTGATATGACCGTTAAAAATTTAGTTATATGGATAATCTAATAATTCATATGAATGCACAAAGAATTTTTTTTTTTTAAAGTGATAATAAAAAGACAATTAGAGTTATCAATCGGATATCGTATTATTCTAATTTCCTTTTCATCCAATGAAGCCATTTTGCCTAATTTGGGTCTAAAGAATAGTGCAGTCATGTGACTATCGGCAAGTCCAAAGTATAGTTCACGATTATAATCTTAATATATCAAATATATCGATATTACTAAAGATGTGATGTAAATATCGACTTTAATAAATTTTTTATATCAAAAAATAAAATTAGAAACTGCAGTGGTACCATGTATTATTGTTAATTGTTAGATAATATCGTGTCTTAAATATTGAGAATGAAATTTATAATTTAGTTACCGTTGACAATGTTTCTAAACATTTTAGAATAAACTGCTCTTTTTGTATCACGAATCTAGTTGATGATTAATACGGTTCAATCAAAGTTTTTGCATTTTATATCAAATACAAAAGAAAAAAATTAAGTTTGATAAACACTGTACTGTTAATACTGTTATCAAATGAATTTTAGCATATTTCTTAATTATTTTATTATTATATTACTTTATATATTTAGATTTATTTATTTATTTTTTTATTATAATGTCAGTATAGGAAAATTGTTTTAGTACAATTTAAATATCAAGATGATACTATTTATAACTAAGATTTTCCTATTTGTATCCATGTTTCTCTATAAGTTATCAGATATGACATTATATTTTCTATTTTCTATAAATAACTAATTTAAATAATTGTTATTATTACTATTAGAAATAGAGAGGTTGGAAAAAACTTTTTTGATTGAAAATAAAAAGTATTATAAGATACATAAATAAAGTGAGTAGTTTTGTAAAAACTATCTTGTAATAAAAGTATTTATATTAGCTTGACATTGAGTTTGAGTAGAAGTTTTTTTAGGAGTAAAAAATAGTAAATTGTATGTTTTGTTTTTTTTAGTTTGTTTTGTAATATTTTGAGAGTTTTTTCATATATGCTGATGTTGGTTCTGAGTAAAATCAGTTTAATGTATTGTTAGAAAGATCAGTAAAAAAGTTTATAGTTAATTTATTTAGTTTATATTAAGTTTGTATAAAGAGTTGTTATAGAATAGTTCTTTGAATTATGTGTAAAAGTAGGTTGGGAATAGAAGTTTGGAAGAAGTTGTTGCAGATTAGAAATATTGTGGTAATTGTTTGTT